GTCGACCCCCTCTCCTGCCTCTTCTATATATATATACAGTGGGGATCGAAAGTTTGGGCACCCCAGCTACAAATTTGTATTAATGTGCATAAAGAAGCCAAGAAAAGATGGAAAAATCTCCAAAAGGCATCAAATTACAGATTAGACATTCTTATAATATGTCAACAAAAGTTAGATTTTATTTCCATCATTTACACTTTCAAAATAACAGAAAACAAAAAAAATGGCATCTGCAAAAGTTTGGGCACCCTGCAGAATTTATAGCATGCACTGCCCCCTTTGCCAAGCTGAGACCTGCCAGTGTCATGGATTGTTCTCAATTGTTCTCAATAAGGCTATAAGAAGATAGCAAAGCGTTTTCAGATGTCAATATCCTCTGTTCGGAATGTAATTAAGAAATGGCAGTCATCAGGAACAGTGGAAGTTAAAGCAAGATCTGGAAGACCAAGAAAAATATTAGACAGAACAGCTTGCAGGATTGTGAGAAAAACAATTCAAAACCCACGTTTGACTGCACGATCCCTCCAGAAAGATCTGGCAGACACTGGAGTTGTGGTACACTATTCCACTATAAAGAGATACTTGTACAAATATGGTCTTCATGGAAGAGTCATCAGAAGAAAACCTCTTCTACGTCCTCACCACAAAAATCATTGTTTGAACTTTGCAAATGAACATATAGACAAGCCTGATGCACTTTGGAAACAAGTTCTGTGGACCGATGAGGTTAAAATTGAACTTTTTGGCCGGAATGAGCAAAGGAGAAGAAGGGGCACAGAATTTAATGAAAAGAACCTCTGTCCAACTGTTAAGCATGGGGTTGGATCAATCATGCTTTGGGGTTGTGTTGCAGCCAGTGGCACAGGGAACATCTCACGAGTAGAAGGAAAAATGGATTCAATAAAAATTTCAGCAAATTTTGGATGGTAACTTGATGCCATCTGTGAAAAAGCTGAAGTTAAAGAGAGGATGGCTTCTACAAATGGATAATGATCCTAAACACACCTCGAAATCCACGGGGGATTAAATCAAAAGGCGTAAACTGAAGGTTTTGCCATGGCCTTCACAATCTCCTGACCTCAACATAATTGAAAATCTATGAATAGACCTTAAAAGAGCAGTGCGTGACAGACAGCCCAGAAATCTCAAAGAACTGGAAGACTTTTGTAAGGAAGAATGGGCAAAGATACCTCAAACAAGAATTGAAAGACTCTTGGCTGGCTACAAAAAGCGTTTACAAGCTGTGATACTTGCCAAAGGGGGCAGTACAAGATATTAACTCTGCAGGGTGCCCAAACTTTTGCAGACGCCATTTTTTTGTTTTCTGTTATTTTGAAAGTGTAAATGATGGAAATAAAATCTAACTTTTGTTGACATATTATAAGAATGTCTAATCTGTAATTTGATGCCTTTTGGAGATTTTTCCATCTTTCCTTGGCTTCTTTATGCACATTAATACAAATATTTAGCTGTGGTGCCCAAACTTTCGATCCCCACTGTATATATATAGTTTAAACATTCATGTATGTGTGTGTATGTATGTATATATATATATATATATATATATATATATATATATATATATATACATATATATATACACATAGTATATATATATATATATATATATACACAGAGTATATATATATATATATATATATATATATATACATTCTCATATATTTTTTCATATAGTATATATATATATTTATATATACATATATATATATATACATATATATATATATATACACACACACATATATTTTTTATCCTATTTTTTGGATTATCAATTAATTATATAAATGTTATATATATATATATATATATATATATATATATATATATATAAATAACCACAAATTCTTTTCTGTGCTCACAGCATTATCATATATACATTCTCATATATATTTTTTTAAAACAATAAATTTTAGATATATTCATAACTTCATATTTATTCTATTTCAGTCAAGAGGGGTAATTCACTTGCAGCGCACTGCCACTGCTTTATTTTTTATCTATTATTTTTTATTTTTAATTGAAATTTTTTCAATTCCTTTCAATTTTATATCTATTTCCCCTCTACTATCATCATTTTTTTCCCCGTTCTGATGTGTATCTATATGTGCCCAAGTGATTTCATACACTGCTATGGATCTTAGTGTATATGTGTACATGTGTACTTATTATTTATTAACTATGTACACCACCCAGACATTGTATCTTTATCACCATCTTTCTCCCCTTGTGCTCCTCATGTTCCTCATATTGCAGCTTTCAATCCATCACTCTGTATTATCCCAAATGTACTCTTGAATCACTGATCCCTAGACCCGCCCATACAGCCGTTCCACGCTCCCTCCATCCCCAGACTATTTAATTGGCCTACTCCAGTGGCCAATTAGGTCTGATGTAAAGGCTGTTTGCCTTGAAACACGTCACTGCCCTATCCTTTGGCTCCACGCTAGGTCTTGACGTCACTTTCGCTTGGCGGCCATCTTGGCTGTTCTCCAGGCTGGCTGTGATACGTGACCAAACCCATGATTGTGTGAGAGGCCAGGAACACCTGTCTGGAGCCCGGATCCTTCCCTGCACCGCGACTTCCTGGACAGTCATCTGCCCTCCTCACTCCTCCATTGGGACCCGCTAAGAGCACCAGCCACTACATGAGCCTTGGCCCCTGTTACCCCAGCCATCCGCTCCAGATGTCCAGCCCGGATGACGCCCTTCTATTCATTACTAGATGCCTGATATATACCCACATCTTGTGAGTTTTTAATCTTGTGTGCAATAAACTGTTACCTCCTTACTACACTTAGTCTGGCGCACCTCTCTCTCCTCTATTCTCTCCATTGTAAGTATGCCTGTGATGTGTGTGAAAAAAAACTTGCTATACAATTTAGTAAAAAAAAAATATTTACTTTCATCAGTTTACAAAGAACTGTCGCAAAATTAAAAGTTTCTTATTTAATACATTTGACTGTTTGCTTTCTAAAAAGGGTACTTGGGGGGGTATTTGTACTGTCCTGGCATTTTAGGGCCTCAGGAATAGAAAGAGGCATTCAGAACATCAGGATTGATCCATTTTAAAATATATATACCATAGATGGTAAACTCTATAGCTTTCACACAGACTAAATCATATACACCTATTTGGGTTTTTTTTTTTCAACAAAGAAATGTAGCAGAATACATTTGGCCTAAATTTATAAAGAAATATTTTTTTGCAAAGTTTGATACCATACAAAAAACGTATTTCAAATGTTAAAAAAAAAATACCACCAAAATAATACACTGTCTCAAAAACGTGATGTAAAATTAATTTAAAGTGTTGCATGACTGAGTAATTGTCAATCGAAGTGTGACAACTCTGAAAACTGAAAAATGGTCTGGACAGGAAGGAGGTGAAACAGTCCTGTCTTCAAGTGGCTAAATATATTTGTGTTGTTACAGCTATCTTCAGGAACAGCATCTGCAAGAGACTATTCTGACAGTGCATATTTGAATGCGGAAAATAATTTTAGTTTTGCTTACAGACATCATGAGAACCTTAATCTACTTTTATTTGATTCAATCAGTCAAACATTTTTTTTCTGATAGTTTTAGTAGAAACACATTTGTTTTTATCAAGCAGGTTTGCTTTGATTGGCAATAGTAGTAGCACTAAAATACTTAATTTTTTCTTTTTTTTTTTTGTTTGAAATGCCAACAAAATCCTCATACTTAAGATACACAAACATTTATGTGTACAGTAGGAGTGCCATTTGTTGGGCTGAGTGTAAAATGTTTTCCATTGGTCATCTGAGATGGATCCTACATTCCTGTGGTCTTTGAACTACATTGAACTAGTCAAGATCAAAAATTTGAACCTCCATTTTTAAAGCACTGCATAATGAGTCACTACTTCTTATAGGTCTGTCTTTTATTTGCTTGCCTTCTCCTATTTCTATGGTCCATGGTTGAGGTTAAATGAATTTTAGAATAATGTAATGTCATGTATCGTGCAATGGTGTCTGCAAACTTGCCTTCTGATGTAATATGTCCCAGAGCTGAAGTGCTGCTCATTCAACCCAGCAAGCCAAGTAGATCTCACGGGAAATTTCTGCAGTAATATATAGTTGGCAGTATTATGTATTTGGCAGCCAAAAATGTTTTTTTTTTTAAGTTTCATTTTCTAACTTTTATTGATGTGATTGTTATACAAGGTATCCCGCATTACGTGCCTAGTCTGCAGTGGGTACTCCGTCAAGAATGTATGTCCTTTCCTGTTACCCAGAAATCTAAGAATTCAGGCTCCACGTGTATTCACCAGTGATTTATCGGAGAACAAATTGCACTCTGAAAGCATCTAATCAACCATCTTGAGATTACCAGCAACAACTGAATGCATATGGTGTATGTGTCTGTAAGCTTGGCACCAGTGACTTTCAGATAAGCTACAAAAATTAAGCTAACAGCATAATACAATATTTCGAATGTTGAAAAAAATATTTGTGCTGGTAGACTGTATAAAGAGCAGCCAACTCTTAAAGCAGTGTTAAATCCAAAAGCAATAATTTATGATATTGCAGGTTACCAATTCTTAGATGTGGTGGATGCATTAGTTTTCTTTTTTTAGGCTTTCTTTCTTCTATTTTAATCTGGTGATCCAGCCAGTAAGTCTGCTGTTTTTCAAAAGAACACACTCTCTTCCAGATGTATCAGCTTATATTTACAATGATCAGCTTTTTTATTTACACTATGTAGAGCATTTATCCGAAGAGGCTTTACACACAATTTATTAGTGTGTTAGTACACCTAAATCTGCTAGTACATTTAACACTACCCCCCCCTCACAAGAGTGACAATGCTTCTCTTTGCTGTGCCCCCTGTGCTATCATCTAGAGCAGGGGTGGCGAACACGCGGCTCTCGGCCAAAATGAATGCGGCTCTTTGCCTCTTATCATATTTTGTATACTGTGGCTCTTTGCCAAGTTTTGCAAGAAGCGGTGCTTTTTGTAATGGTAAGGCGGTACCTGGGACACATGACAGATCCCAGAAGCCGCCGGACCAATCACAAAGCGCAAGTGCTTCTCGCTCATGCACACTGGGCACCCGGCTGTCATGCCGAGCGCCATTACAGAAGCCGGGAAGACAGCGTGCGGCTGGATCGAGGAATAGGTAAGATCAAACAAAAACTCTGCGGAAGTAAGAGCGGGTACCTGTCAAATTCAGGTACCCGCTCCCCACCTCCCCAAAGGTCAGCAGCCATCTGTACTGTCCGCAGTCTCTGGTCATCCCTGTACTGTCCGCAGTCTCTGGTCATCCCTGTGCTGTCCGCAGTCTCTGGTCATCCCTGTGCTGTCCGCAGGTCATCCCTGTGCTGTCCGCAGTCTCTGGTCATCCCTGTGCTGTCCGCAGTCTCTGGTCATCCCTGTACTGTCCGCAGTCTCTGGTCATCCCTGTGCTGTCCGCAGTCTCTGGTCATTCCTGTGCTGTCCGCAGTCTCTGGTCATCCCTGTGCTGTCCGCAGTCTCATTTGATGTGTGTGTTGAGGGTAGACACTTACCTTGAAATGAACACATTGTTGTTTTGTAAGGGGAAGAAAGTGTTATGGTGAATAATATAGTTTTAATTATGTGTTTTTGTGTGAGTGTTTGTCTGTTTTGGCAGGTCACTGCGTGGTGTGGCTCTCTGACTTTCACAGTTTAAAATTTTGGCTCTTTGTGTCTAACTTGTTCGCCACCCCTGATCTAGAGTAAGGGCACTCTAATGCAGGAGGTGTGTTCATGGCCAGATCAACAGGAGAAAACAGAAGGAAAACAAGTCTAACAAAAGAAAACTAATGCAGCCACCACATTTAATGATTGGTAAGCTGAACTGTTATATTTTTGGCTTTGGGTTTAATATCGCTTTAAATTGGGTATAAATAATAGAACAGGGAGATGTGAGATGTAATAATTGCTGTCTGGGCATCATATTTCAGATCAAACTAGATAGTGTCTACATCCTGGCACATACATAGTTAGTCCGGCTGAAAAAAGACAAAAGCACATCCAGTTCAACCATAGAAAAAAAACCAAAACATTACAATGCTATACCCACAGTTGATCCAGAGGAAGGAAAAAAAATCCAGCAAAGCACGATCCAATTTGCTCCTGCTGAGAAAAAAAATTCCTTCCTGATCCTCCGAGAGGCAATCAGATATTCCCTGGATCAACTTTCCCTATAAATGTTAGTATCCAGTTATATTCTGTGTATCCAAGAAAGAACCCAGGCCTTTTTTGAAGCAATCCACTGAGCTGGCCAGAACCAACTCTTGAGGGAGTCTATTCCACATTTTCACAGCTCTCACTGTGAAGAAACCTTTCCATGTTTGGAGATTAAATTTCTTTTCCTCCAGATGTAAAGAGTGCCCCTTGTCCTCTGTGATGACCTCAGGGTGAATAGCTCTACACGAACTCACTATATGAACCCCTGATGTATTTATACATGTTGATCATATCCCCCTTAATATCCTCTTCTCAAGAGAGAATAAATTTAGTTCCTCTAATCTTTCCTCATAGCTGATCTCCTCCATGCCTCTTATCAGTTTGGTTGCCCTTCTCTGTACTTTCTCCAGTTTCCCAATGTTCTTTTTGTGAATTGGTGCCCAAAACTGAACTGCATATTCCAGATGAGGTGTTACTAATGATTTGTACCGGGGTAATATGATATCTCTCTCTCTGGAGTCTATACCTCTTTTAATACAAGAGAGGATTTTGCTCGCTTTAGAAACCACAGCTTGGCATTGCATGCCATTATTAAGCTTGTGATCAACCAGAACTCCCAGATCCTTCTCCACCATTGATTCCCCCAGTTGTACCCCCCTAGTATGTATGATGCATGCATATTCTTAGCCCCCAAGTGCATAACCTTACATTTATCAACATTAAACCTCATTTGCCACATAGTTGCCCAATTACACAGTGCACTGAGGTCGGCTTGTAGGTTGAAGACATCCTGTAAGGACGTTATTCCACTGCACAGCTTGGTGTCATCTGCAAAGACTGAAATGGGATTTTTAATCTCAGACCCTATATTGTTTATAAATATATTAAAAAATAAGAGTCCCAACACTGAACCTTGGGGTACACCACCGACAACCCTAGACCATTCAGAGTATGAATCATTAACCACTACTCTCTGAATACGATCTTTTAGCCAGTTTTCTATCCATTTACATACAGATTTTTCCAAGCCCGTAGACTTTTCCTTACACATTAGCCATGTGTGGGGAACTGTGTCAAACACTTTTGCAAAATCCAAGTATATCACATCCACCGCCACCCCTCTGTCCAAGGTTTTACTCACCCCCCCCGTCAAAAAAAGAAATAAAATTTGTTTGACAACTTCTGTCTTTCATGAATCCATGCTGTCTGTTGCTTAAAATATTTTTTTCCAGCAAGAACTCATCTATGTGGTCTTTTATTAAACTCTCCAGTATCTTCCCAACTATAGAAGTTAAACTAACAGGTCTATAATTACTTGGTAAAGATTTTGACCCCTTTTTAAATATTGGCACCACATTGGCCTTACGCCAGTCCAGTGGTACTATGCCAGTCATTAAAGAGTCCCTAAAAATTAGAAACAATGGCCTTGAAATAACAGAGCTCAATTCTTTAAGGACCTGTGGGTGTATGCCATCCAGTCCAGGTGTTTTATTCACCTGTATACTGTGTAAATATTTTTGTATCATATCAATCGTGAGCCAATGTGGATCATCTGGAGCTGTGTCAATACCATGCCCATTATGGACAAGAGCTCCCCCATGCTCCTTTATATATACAGAGCTGAAGAAGGTATTAAATATATTTACCTTCTCTTTGTCCCCAGTCACCCACTCTAGATCATTATTTTGTAAAGGGCCTACATGCTCAGACCGGACCTTTTTACTATTTATATATTTGAAGAATTTTTTGGAGTTAGTCCTGCTTTCTTTTGCAATCTGTCATTTGTTTTCAATTTTCGCGGCCTTTATTTCCTCTTTGCATATTCTGTTATATTCTTTGTAATGTTTAAACGATGATAGCATTCCTTCATTTTTATATTGAATAAAATCTCTTTTCTTATTATCTATAGCCTTTTTAACTTTGGCTGTAAGCTACATAGGTTTGATTTTTAGCCTTTTAAACTTGTTGCCCATGGGAATATATTTTGCAGTGTGTTCACATACAGTCTTTTTGAAGAACTCTCATTTCTGTGTTGTGTTCATCAATGCCAATATTCCCTCCCAGTCTAAGTGTTGGAGAGCAGCTCTCAGCCTTGGAAAATTAGCTCTCTTGAAATTGAGCGTTTTTATTTTTCCCATATGTGCTTGCTGTTTACAGCTAACAATAAATAAAATCATGTTATGGTCAATGCTACCCAGATGTTCTTTTATATGGACACTCGTAATAAGCTCTGCATGGTTTGAGATTACCAGGTCCAGCAGAGCATCATTCCTAGTAGGGGCCTCTATGAACTGTACCATAAAATTATCCTGTAGTAAGTTTAAAAATTTTTGCCCTTTAACTGTTTCTGCAGTACCATTACTCCAGTCAATTTCCGGGTAATTAAAATCCCCCATTATTATCACTGTCCCAGCCCTTGCAGCCCTTTCGATCTGCGCAAGGAGCTGAGTCTTCACCTCCTCATTAACACTGGGAGACTTATAACAAACTCCAATGATTACCTTTGTAGTATGCACCCCCATGTGCAGTTCCACCCATAATACTTCAGCCTCATCACACTCTCCATCAACTAGGTCCTCTTTCACACTCACTCTGAGATTACTTCTCACATAGAGACAGACACCACCACCTTTCCTGTTTACCCTGTCTCTCTGAAAGAGAACAAAGCCAGGAATATTAATGGCCCAGTCATGCGAAGAATGAAGCCAAGATTCAGCAATACCAATTAAATCATAGTTCTCTTCATGCAACAAAGCTTCCAACTCACCTATTTTACTTGGCAGACTTCTGGCATTGGTGAACAAACACTTTAACCTCCCTGGCGGTATTCCCAAGTGTAGCTCGGGGTAAAACTTCAGTACCACAAGCTGTGGATGCGGCGTTGCTCAGGGATTCCCTGCAGCGCTTACCTTGTCCTTCACTCCCCTGCCGCGTCCCCGGCCATCTCCTCTGGCCGGCATCCGGCTTCCGTGTTGCGGTCCCTGCTAGAGTCGGGACATACGGGGGCCGGAACTGGCAGCAAATTTAAAAATTTTAGAAACTGTAATTTTCTAATAAATGAAAATGACATAGTAAACCATTACTGTTTCAAAGCATTGCACATACATTTTGTCCCTAGTGCTTTGTCCTGTGCCCTGCCTGCATTTTTACTGTTCTTTCTGCCTGGAAACTTATAGAAGTCCATGGCGTCCAAAAAGCGTCACTTATGGGCAAAATCGGTTTTAGACCAGCTAGAGAACAGCGATAGTAAATCAGAACCACTTGCAGAATTGAGTGATAATTATTCGTGGGGAAATTCGTCATCAGACACTGAAAACGATTTTGCGACTTTGCTCAGCGATGTGCGAACTTGGCACTGTATTTCAAATTTCAGTGTTTTTGGTTTGATTATATTATTGAATTACATTTATTATTATTATATTATAATTTTTTATGATTATTTATTAAATTATAATTTATGATTTCGTGTTTCAAGTTTTATCCTACCCAGAATGTTTACTAGACTCTTGTTCGGACAGATTTCAGTGAGTTATTCCTAAAAATTACAGGCCTACAATATAAAACGCCAAATTTCCATGCAAAATAATGGTACCTCTTTCAGCACCAAAAAGCTGAAATAATCATACCGCCAAGGAGGTTAATTGATTGACACGTATTTTGCATATTTTTTAGTTTCATACAAATGGTATCAATTCCACTGGTTGTTTGTAACATGGGAACCTTCTTATCATTTGCCATAGCCTTCCCCCCATCTTTCCCCATTCACCCACTAATAAGTACTGACCCTTGTCTGATCTGTCTACCCCGTTATAATCTAATTCTCCCTCCCCCCTCGATCCTAGTTTAAATATTCCTCCAGCCTTCCCATAAACCTCTCCCCCAGCACAGCAGACCCCCTTCCATTTATGTGCAGACCATCTCTAGCATATAGGTTGCACCCCAATGAAAAGTCAGCCTAGTGCTCTAGAAACCCAAATCCTTCCTCCTTGCACCAGGTTTTTAGCCATGCATTGAGTTCTCTAATCTCCCCCTGTCTTTCCTAAGTTGAGCATGGTACAGGTAATATTTCAGAGAATATCACCTTGGAGGTCCTTCCCTTCAACTTGCAGCCTAGTTCTTTAAATTGATCTTAAGGAGTCTCCACCTTCCATGTATTCTGTCATTGGTTCCAACATAAACCAAGACAGCTGGGTCATG